TGTGTGTGTGTGTGTGTGTGTGTGTGTGTGTGTGTGTGTGTGTGTGTGTGTGTGATCATTAATGAAGTGGACCCTGGTGGCCTATGCTTGGCCTTTATTAGTGTGTCAAGTGGAGAGGTGGTAATAATGTGTTAAGTTAGTTTAAGATCAGAGAACAGACACTAAAACCAGGCTGGCGAACAGTCTTCATAGTCAAAGATGCTGAAAGTATAAAAGGATAAAAGTGAGTTCAGGGTTTGAAAGTTGTAGCCGCCTGTACTCAGGAAATGTCTTCTGTTACCCAGCATGCCTGCAAATATGCTGATATGTGACTACATTTGTATAAGCGTATATTAAAGCCTATTAAAAAAGTATTTTTGACATCTTGAGACGTGTATTTGCCTTTTCGCTGTAAATTAGATGATGAAATTAACAAAGCCACAGTGGACATTCCATGATTTCCCCCACAGCTCATTTTTGTGGAAACTGAATAATTGACACTGTTCTATGCAGCATTAATAGCCTTTGATAATGTGACATTATCTGAAAAACCACTGTTTACTTTTCTCATTAGTTTTCTGCGTTTTCTAACGTGAGCTCACTGCGTCCTCAGATGACAGTGCGTCAGCGGCCAGCAGTATGGAGGTGACCGACCGCATCGCCTCCCTGGAGCAGAGGGTCCAGATGCAGGAGGATGAGATTCAGCTGCTCAAGTCCGCTCTAGCTGACGTGGTCCGCAGACTCAATGTGTCTGAAGAGCAGCAGGCCATGGGTGCACGCAGAGGACCCACCAAAGGTAACATACAGTCCAGCACAAAGCCTAGGGGCTTGCTATTACAGTATATGCATCACACACAGACTGGCTTGCACACGTGGTTTTTCAGGACTCTTGTGTCTGTTTTTCCACTCTGACCTGTCGATGCTGATCTTCAAATCCCGCTAGTTTTCTTTCATCTGACTCATCGCTCTCCTCTCCTTCCTGTCCCATCTCCTCTTGGACTGTGTTGTCTTGTTGAATGCTTTTGCCTTACATGTATAGACCCCGCTATGATGAGAAAATCTCCCTCAGCAGACAGCAATGTTGGGAAGCCAGGTAGGCTCACTGTGTAGCCTGACTGCACTAACCAGACCTGGTATTGTGTCACTGCCTGCCCTGCTACTATTATCCTAAATATATAGTATTTCACCAGGAAATGCACAGTTGCATTCAATACGGCTCACTGCACTGTGATCCGAGTTTGAAGACAGATCTTTGTGGGAATTTGTGTCAGCACAAAAACTGTTTTATGAGGTTTTGTTTGATAAGAGCCAGGCTAGCGTTCTCCTTTGTTTCCTGTCTTTCTGGTAAGCTCACTAGCTGCTGGCTGTAGCTTCCCACTGAACAGAGGCTGTATTGATTTTCACAACTCTCTCTCTGGAATGAAAAGGAATAAGAAAGCATCCCAACCTATTCGGCTGAGGTGTAGGGTTAAATCAACACCTCCCTGACACAGGCTCAGTTTATTTTCCAAAGTCCAGAATGTGATTCACCTTCACGAATGGTTTTATCATAAGTCAAAGGCACAGTTGCTAAACCTTAAAATGCCTCACTCTGATGATCCCTCCACCTGGTGTCACACAGCTGCATGCTCTTCTCATCTGTGCTGAAAACATTGCATAAACTTTAAAAAAGCGAGCCCCAGAGAGTGATAAAAGGTAGACTTTTTTCACATGTTTTTTGCATTTTTATTGCTTAACAATACTGCATGCATCGATTTTTCAGTGGAGATGTGTAAACTTTGGTCATGAAATCGTGCTGTCACTCCTGAGGCTGATAAAGGCTGCATGGGAAATCAGCTGCACTTCATGTGTTTCAAGTCCTCACATGTGCTTTAGAGTAATGAAGCAAAAGCAGATTAGGATTCTTAGCTGCTGCCAGCTCCATTCTCAGGACGGATGGAGTTTCAGTTTGATTGGGGAAGTGGAGGATGACTCGGACTCATTGTTCCCCACCAGCAGTCTGCTTTCCCTCGACTGAAGCACAGTGATCTGATTCAGAAAGTTTAACCCAGTCGGGCTGACTGCATGTGGACAATCGTGTACACAGAGGAGCACACGCATTTGTCTTCTTTAACATGCTAACAAAATTACAAACCTCGTTTTGCCCCTGCTGCGTAATTACTACATGAAAGATAACAGAGGGAGTGTGTGCACAGGCCTGAGTATCAATGTGTGTCTGGATGAAGCAGTGTCTATTAAATATTTATCACTGCAGATAAAGCTGCAGCTTGGATCTGTTAGTCTATGCTGCCTGAATGAATTGTGTGTGTGCGTGCGTGTGTGTCGGTGGGTGGGTGTGTGTGTCAGTTTTTCTGATACCACTCCATTTTCTACAAACTGTATTCCATCTCAATGAGAAACCTTTAAAACAATTACATTTAAATTTAGTTTACTTGTTTATATATAATCACTTAATCTTCTCCCTCTTTTTTAACCTGAAGATATAAAACACTGTGCAGTTATTTCCCATCTCTGAACCCTCACATTGGAATTATATTTACATTTGGGAAACAAAACCCTGAAAGTCAAACTACGCTCACTGGCCAGTTCATTAGTTACCCCTTGCTAGTACCGGGTTGGAGCACATTTTGTCTTCAAAGCTGCCTTAATGGTATGAATCCAACAATTCCATCTTGATTTGGAATCTGCTGCACATCCGTAATTGGAATCTCCCCGTCCACCACATCCCAAAGGAGGACCCTAACATCCTATCCAAATATCACAGCGGAATAGGCAACGCTTTTTCAGTAATCTTTTGCCCAGTGTTGGTGAGCCTGAGTGAACTGTAGCCTCAGTTTCTTATTCTTCACTAACAAGATTGGTAACTGGTGTGGTCTTCTGCTACTGTAGCCCATCTGCTTCAAGGTTGTGTGTTCAGGGATGTTTCCTTCTTCATGCCTTTGTTGAGTTACTGTTGCATTCCTATCAGCTTGAAGCAGTCTGACCGTTCTTCTCTGACCTCAGGCATCAATGAGGCATTTTCACCCAGGAGCCTGAAGCTCATTGGACACTTTCTATTTTTCAGGCCATTCTCTGTAACACTAAAGGTGGTTGCGTGGCATAATCGCAGCAGATGAGCAGTTTCTCAAACCGACCAATGAGTCAAGGTCATGCATTGAGCTACTGCCAAGTGATTGGTTGGTTAGATATTTGTGTTAACAAGCAGTTGAGCAAGTGTATCTAATGAAATGACCAGTGAGTATATATTGTGTATATTAAATGACACAAACGTGTCTATAAACCTATACAGTAGGCCAGTGGCAACCCTGGGGGCATTTTTGGGAAAACCAGCACTACTGTACATTTCATTTATCCGTGTTTCTACAAAAACATGAAGAAATATTTCAATAAATCCATGACATGGCAGCGCATGGTTTGACTCGGCATGGCATGTGTCCAGGACTTATCCATCCTCAGCTCCTTTTGCCCCAGCAGGAAGCCCCCCCACCCCCACCCTCCCCAAACCCATGGTCACTCTAAGAAAAAAGAAATTTTTACATGTTGAGTGTTCAGCTAAAAGCAAAGTAAACTATCTTCAGATCAAGAATTCTGAGTTTAATTGTTTGTTGACTCCAAATTCAATGAATGTGTAGACAAATAACCGAGGTGGCAGTACATACAGCGTTATTTTAAATACACTACAGGTGCTGACTCTGATACTGGTTCTTTCTGAACGCGTCATGTCGTCCTCTTTCTTCCAGCCAGGCCAATGATCGCCACCCTGCCGTTACGGCCCACAGTAAACAACGGGACCGTCCTACCAAAGAAAGGCAGCGGGACTCTGCCATCCCCATCTGGATCTGGATCCAGGAAGGACACCAGCGCGCCAGCCAACAAGACGTAAGGAAACCCAGTATGACTGTAAATGTATTTGAGCATTTTTTTCCTCTGCTCTTCTTTGTCTGTTCATTATAATCGATTTTAAGGAGGCTATCGGCATTTCTGGAAACCTTTTGCTTCCTTAGAGCAACTTGAAGGTGTGGACTGTCAGAGTCAGCAGATTTTGTCTTGTTTTTCTACAAAATCCCAAGCGTCATTAAAACCGCTGGAAAGATTTATTGTTCTTCACCCCAGAAGTTTTATGTGTCTCGACATTTCTTCCCTCATGTCTGCCTGTGCCACGCCAGGTCATTTCAGCCATAAATCATCACATTTCTGGCTTTTTATCATCCACACACATTGACATTTAACAGCCCTGATAAAGGGAGACAAAGCATTTTCATCATCTGCTGCTCTGTGTTCTTTGTGCGTCCGTGCGTTTACAGGTGAATATGGAATGCAGGTTATCAATCTTGCCTGCCAGCATAACAATCGCCTTTCCCCATTCTCTGATGACATTAACTAAATCAGATGAAGCCTGGCACACAGCAGGGGCCTGCTCCAGTCCGCGCAAATGTTAACTCTGCTTCTCCGCCTCTCTTTTAGAAGTATTAAACTCAGGAGCTCAAGCTTTGACACTGAAAAGATCTTTTTTTAAATGTATATTTCATTATATATATATCCAACCCTGAATAGTCATAGTTTTAGGGTTGTCTAGTTCCAGGCTTGGCATCGTGACATGAAACAGCACTTTCTTAGTTGAAGGATGATGAGTGGCACTGGAGACTAATGATTAGCCCAACTGTTTTTACTTGTTATGTTGGCATGGCTGTGAATCAGTGTTAACTTAAGATATGACATATGGGTCTCTTGCTACTTTTTAGGGAAAATCAAATCCATCTTCCCTGTGGAGGCAACGTCAGGCTAAAGATGGAAATAGAGTGAACGCCGATAACACAATAGCAGCAAATCTTATACCCCTTAAAGTCTTTAGTTTTTAGTTGTATTCCAAGATAGAGTTATTTCTCATCAGATATCTCTTCCGTGTAGTCTCCTGTATTGTGCTGGGTCCTCCCCATCTTTTTCCTGTCTTCATTGTCTGTCTCTGATTATATGTCGTTTCCCACTGTGATGCATTCTGTTTATGTCTCATTCACCTATGTTGTTATGTCCTGCCACTCTGTCCAGTTTCTCCTCCCTGTCTCGTTCCTCCAGAATTCTCTATCTGCCCCTCAGGTGAGACTATCACCACGTTACAGTATGCTGTAGATTTATACAGCGCTTAACTGATCTAACACATGCTTAACTCGATCTCCAGTTTTTAAAATCGCTCACTAAATTATATGAATTTTTTTTTTTATTCGGTGTGATTAATCATATGTTTTTTAAGTCTTTGGTGCAGTGTGTGTGTTATTTGCTGTGCCTGTGTGGGATTACTTAAACTGCAGACTGATCACAATCCCATCAGCACTGGTGTACACAGAACAGCCTTCAAAGCCCTGTGGTCCAATTACTGTGATTCCTCATGGGATAACGCGGCAAACAACAGTGTCTCTCTTTCTCTCACTCTTCTTTCCATCCTGTTCTCTTCTTTAATGAACAAACACACACAGAAGTTATCCCAGAAGGGATAACAGCCACCGGCCAGTTTTAGAATTTGAATAGACTCTCCTCCCATAGGGTGGATTAGGTGACTCGGCCTGCTGGTCATTGGACTGCTGATGGAGCCTTTTTATTGTTGTGAATGGGCAGGCTGCCGGCACCACCAATATGCAGATTTACAGAGGTCTGTGCAGATGCTGTGGTTATTATAATCACAGAGGAGTAAACACAGTAAAACTCTGAGGAAACGGCACTGTGCGGTTTTGTAAAAAGTTGTTTCTTTCTTCTTCCCAACTTTTATTGGACCTGATGTCCTCAACTTCCCTGTTTTGCTGTTAGTGAGGTAGCAGTGTTTGCTAAGCAGGCCCAATGATCAGTGGTTCTTCACACTGGGCTGCAAGGACCCTCTGCAGGTTAACAACCGATAACCATTCTCAAGGTGTAACAAACCTCTACTGCTGCTGCACAGTTTGACCTCCTAGTGAATGGAGATGGCGTGAGTAAATGAACATCTCTATTCATGCTACCATTATAAAGGTGTCCCTGGATGATGTCCTTGCCTGAAAGGGGTGCATGGCCCCAAAAAGTTTGAGGTTTAATAATCTTCTAAGAAAGATGCTTCGAGTGCTGAAAGGTGTTCTTAATCTCCTCAAACAACTTTGCTCATACTGCTTACTTGTAATCAGTAATACTAATATTACATAATATTCACACACACTCACACTCTGATAGGAGCATCTCAGGGTTCAGTATTTTACCTAAGGATAGTTCAGCATCCAGGCTGGAGGATCAAACCACCAACCTTTCAATTAGTGCACAGCCGCTCTACATCCTGAGCCACAGCCAGGAGGTAGAGCGGGGATAAAGCTATTCTAGTACTTAAGTTGTGTAGTAATGCAGCAAAAGCAGCAACAAGCAGGGTTTATTTATGTAATGAATTAATCCAGAATTAAATTAATCTGTATTACTTAGTATTTAGCCGTCTGCCAGCTTTGCCCTATTTGTGAGTGGCCGGTTGTCTCTAGGTGCCAGACGGGGACAAATCTGAGCTGATTAAGGGGGAAAAAATGTATACATCTGGATGAAAACTTTACCAGATGGCATTTTCAGAAAAAGCAGCATCCGGTAAGTTTTGTGACCTATTTCTTGTGACTTTGTCTTCCATCCTTTTAATCACAGCACTGTGAGGAGAGCCAATTCTAATGAACAAATGGGGACACTCAATCGGAAAGATTCAGGTGACTCCAAGGGCAACCGAACCCGAGCCGGATCCACCGGAAGCAACTCCAGCGGCAAAAGGAGTGACAGGTTAGGCAGAACCAGCAGTGAATCAGTTTTTCTCCATTCGGCGCCACATGGAAGCTAAGATGTATAACAATGTTTGTGTTTTGCAAACCAGAAACTACAAGGTTTTTCTTATAAGGATCTTTCAAATTAAAACATACAGTAGCGATGGTTTACCCAAAGTTGGGGTGCTGATTGACAGCTGTCTGTTTACTCGTTTACTTTGCAGCAAACAGAGGGACCCAGTGTTCAATGCAGGTAAGAAGCGTCTCCTTTATGGCTGTCTGGCCTTGATGACTATGTGTTTCCAAGCTATGATCCAACTCATTGAGAGCCATTACATAAAAGATGCTCAGTGGTTCTCTGTGTCAGTCGGAGGTCAATGCATTTTTTTAGAAATCCTGTTAAAATACAGAATTATGTATTCACTTTTTTGTTTATCCCTAAAAGGAAGCAGTGCAAGAGATGCCTTGAACTGTTTTCTGTACCCAGACGACCACTGACGGCTAACACACAATGCTTTGTCTTAGTGTTCATTTTCTCCATTATTTCCTCCCTCACAAGTAACAAGCATCCTACATCCTCATCTTCAAATTGCCATTTGTCTTTTTTTTTTTTTGTAATAAGTTCTTCCTGCTTCTTATGTTAAACTGAACTTTTGGTTGCACTGCTAAACAGTTTGTCATTTATACTCAGTTAAAAAAGCAGATCCTAATATTGCCCAGTGAGCTGATAAACGTCCTCTGCTTTTGTTGAAGAGATTCAAATGCATAAATATATCAATAGCAAGCCTTCAGGAGCTTTTCCAAGTAAATCAGAACTTTACAGGAAACCTTTTAAGGGTTTGTCTTTGAGGCCACAAACAATGATATAAAGTACACTCCTGGGTAAACTGTTATAGCTAATTGCATTGGAATTTGCTATAGTAACTTTCTAGCTAATTAAATTAGCGGCCAGGTGATTTCCATAAAACGATATAAACGTTTTTAATAGCGGAAGGAGTGCAAGGTTAATATGACTCACGTAATATGTGATATTAGTGCAGAAATGAGAAAAAGTACGGTGGCCCTGAAAGGTCAAATGTTTAACTTAAGAAAACACCAGCAAAAATTCTGCAAAAGTACACAAAATAAAATAAAAAACCTTTACAAAAAAAAACTAAACAAAACTCACAAAACAGAACGTGTTTTGGGGGGACAATAATGTGACGGAACAGCAGCGGAAGTGACATGCTAACAGTTAACGGCTAAAAGCAAACAAGCATCTACAGAATTATATGAGTTATGAGACTAAAACACTCAGTACCTTGTATCTTTTTCCTCCTCACAACACTGAGGCGTCTTCCGCTTCTTTTAAGTTTGTCTCAGGGCGATTCTTCCCATGTTTTGGTTTCTGTCACTTATGCAGCCGTTCCGTCATGGTAATGCTTCCCCCAAGAACACAAGTTTTCGGTTTTCTTTACTTCCATTGTGGGTCTTTTTTTGGATTTTTTTTCTTATCTGCATTTCTGTTGTGTTTTGTGTACTTTAGCAGCATTTTTTTATTTGCTGGTGTTTTCTTAAATCGTAGTGCATTTGACCTCTCTGAGTTACTGTAAATTTTAAAAAGTTAAAAACATACAAGCATCTAACAGCTGAAAAATTCCTCTCAAGAAAATCCTTCAATCTGATGCTTTGAATCTTTTTGAATCATGCACCTCACAGGTGAACCAGGTCTTACACGGTGTATCCTTTGAACAAAATCCAGAAAGCACATTGTAACAAGACAATGGGACTGAATATAAAATTAGATGACTATTGATCAGAATTTCCATATCCAGCATGCTATTGATTTCTGCCTAAATTGCACCGCTGCGTTTCATCTGGTTCCATATTTACTCGGCTCGATCTACAGAACGAGACAAAGCTTTACCAGGTTTCTGTCTGTGTTATGAAAAGATAAAACAGTGTGCAGCTTACTGATCCAGCACATGTCACAAACTGCTTAAATATTCAGAAGTTTAAGGCCATAGTTTAAAAGAAAAAAGAAAAACAGAAATTTACGACACAAAAAAGGATCGAATGAGCCAGTCGATATTCCCGCTAATTTATTTCACTTATGTCATGCTCTGATGATTTAGGCTAATTGATCATAGGCAGTTTGATAGGCATAACCTATCACTATGTGACAATAAACCAATGTGAGCAATAATTGCAGTCTTAGCTTTTATCTCATGCTTGCCTTCAGGACATGAACGTAAAATGCTACATTTGATATTCAGTAAAAAATAGTCTTTGTCCTCACATTAAACTAATCTAACAAAATAGACATTTTTCTTTGTTTTTAGCTTAACAAGGACTAAAAAGGTTAGTAGATGGGGGTCAGGTGGGGGCTTTAATTTAATTATTCACTTACAGTGTAGGAGCAGAGGGTGGAGCACCAGGAAACGAGCATTGATTCTTTTGGCCATTTAAGGAAAGTAGCCATTAGGAATGAGGCTGATTCATTAAGAACATTACGGAGAGAAGCTGCTGTTCATTAAAACCAGTAAACAGGAAGTTCACTCATATTAGGACAGACCAGGAAGTGAGGAAGCGATGCCACGCCTCACCTGGTGCTTGTGTGTCTCTCTGTGACCTTTACAAGGAATGCGACGTGTGACCCACTGCAAAGGTAGGCCACTCACCCCCGTCCCCTAATACCCATCCGCTCCCAGTTATCCACAGCTCTCTGGACACTGCAGACAATTTGTTCTGATCTCTGAACACATATCACTTTTGCTCTAAGCCTCAAAAGCTATTTTACTCTTCTGGATAAAATATGGAGTATAACTCTGAAATTTCAACTCATAGTTTTGTTCACCTCCAACTTTTAGGTATCTAAAACTTTCGCAGTACACAGAAAGCTGTCCAGACAGGGGCAGGAGTGGGTTCACAAAAATTGTGTGAACATAGCCTTCCCTGGATTAATTAACATAAAAACGCCCACACCTCCTACCTAACCTCCACCGAGTGCTGCATCAGAGTGGGATTGCAGTGTTTGCAGTTTACTTATTATTCAGCTGTGGGCGAAGCTGCCGCCTTACCACAGTTGTGCCTGTTTGCTCACAGCCTCACTTTCGCTCACAGGCATTTAGTCTCTGTCACCATAGTAACCACACAAAGATTTCTGACACTTGCTGCCTCGCAGTCGCTTTGAGTTTTTCTGCGAACTCTTTAAATCCTCTGTTCTCAGATCCTTCGCTTCAGTTCAGAGCATGTAGATTTGCCACTGCTTATTACCTCCCCACCCTCAAAGTGAATATTTGCATTACAAACACACTGAGTATCTGATTTTGGGTAGTTCCTATTGAAGTCTGTTTGATTTTTTTTTTCAGCTTGTAGTTTTCTCACACAGCCTGACGAGTGTGAGTGTGTGTTTGTGTGTGTGTGTTTGTGTGTGTGTGGTCCCCTTCAGATGAGTGTTTGAACAAAACTGACCAAAGTGAAAGCCAAGCCCACTTCTTTACAGATATATTGGTGTTTGCACAGCCTTGTTACAGGGGAATGTAATCTTTAAAACAAACAATGAGATGATTGTGAGCATTTCGTTGCTAAAAGCATCTGGTTCCAACATTTCAGGCTAGTGACTTCTTAAAAGAAGTCGTGTGTGTGTGTGTGTGTGTGTGTGTGTGTTGTGTGTGTGTGTGTGTGTGTGTGTGGTGTGTGTGTGTGTAGCCTCTTGTCGCAGACTGGACGCATTTGTGTTTTTGAGAAGTTAACCCCCAAAAAGGTGTTGTTTACCCCCTAAACCTTTCATGTTAATGTTTTTAATTAAAATAAAACCTGAAAAAAACAACACTGAAGTTAGACTTTCAGTCCAATTTGATTAATCGGAAATTCAGCAATAAAGCTTTTTTTAAATGTAATTAAGAGATTATAGCCACATAAAATATAGCAGTTATAAAATATATGGTCTTTTTTTGTAACACCATTTTCTTTATTTTGCAATCTCTTCCAAAGGCTGTAAATTATGATCTCCATTTATAGTAAAATAGAGGATAATGCAGGGAATGCTTTTAGGGCGTGGCTACCCGCAATTGTGCTATGTCTTAAGTTTTTTAAACCAGAAATGATACCCAAGGCACAAATCTGACTGAGAAACCCAGATGGCCAGAACCAGTATTGTCAACTCAAAGCATTAATATGCAAACCAGTTGACAACCATGACTGCTGCCATCATTTATATACAGTTTATGTAAAGGCTCCAAAACCAGGTTTCGAATGACTGAGGGGGAGATCTTATATGAGACCAACTAAAAATGACAAATTTAATTTGCATTGCTCAACAGATACTAAATTACTACTTTTCTAAATATATCCCAGTCTTCAACAATATGCTGGCTTAAATTGGGAATAATTTCCATAGTTTCCCTGTGTCCTACCAGTTTCATAATTCTTGTACTTAATGTAAAAAAAACTTCATGTGTCTAACTTCTTGCATTTCTTGATCCTGCTTTGTCCCTATTTTGCCCTCTTCATCTGTCCGGCCCTGACAACCTCTATTGCCCCGCTTCATCAACAACTCCCCTGCTCTTTCTCCTTATCTATGTTATAGTCACAGTACAGATTTACCTCAGCCGCTCTACAAAGTTGACTGGGAAAGGCAGCGTCCCTGCAGCTTCAGGGGTAACAACCCGTTCAGCCGCCAACACACAACAAACCTCAGAAATCAGCAGGGCCAGCAGGGCCAAAAAAGGCAACTCTGCTAAGGTTTCAGTGGCCAGAACGACCCCGAATTTTAGCATCCAGTTGAGGAAGTCAGGGAGCCTGTCATCCTACTCTCCCCTTAATACACCCAGCTACCGCAGCCCTATTAAATCCCCCAGCCAGTACTTCCAGATTTGTTATTAGCAAACATAAGCAAGCTTATCTAGAGAGGACAGCATGTTTTATGTCTAAAGTAATAAAGGAAGATTCATGATTTTAAATCTGATCTTTCCCTTTAAAAACAACACAAGGAAAGAATCAGAGAAAAAGCAGCAAAATGAGTACAAAAACCTTTAAAGCCATCGCTTTGATCCATTAGTCAACCTTTCTGATTATCTGTTAACATTAAAGTTTATTTTGTTCATTTTGGTTTCCTTCTGCATGGTTTATTTTGCATGTTTTAAAATGATTTCTCAGTGTTTCCTCTTCTAAGCCTCAATCTGTTTTTTTTTCTTTTCACTGCTTCTTGTGTCTGCGTTTCATGTTGGTCAATCTCTGCTGTGAGCTGAATATTCCTGAGTTGTGAAGATTTTTAACAAAGTGTTTGCAGTTTTATTTTGTGCTGCTTCTTGTCATATATGTGTTTTGAAATGGCCAATAAAAGTCCATTAAAAAGCTGTTTGTCTTCCCAAGCTCTGTCATTTTTTGATCATCTCACATCACTTCATCCTCTCGTCTTGTCTTACACTCAGTATTATCACCCTTGTCATTCACACCATAATGGATGTATTAAGTAGCAGTGCTGTGTGTGCTTCTGTTTTGCCGTATAGTAAAAAAAATGACACTGTAAGTGATTTAATTCCACCCAGGATTCAGGGGTTCTGTGTTTGTGCATCTAAACATTATCTCACCGATTATTCTTGTTGCCTTTTCTAGAGGAGGGTTATGTGAAAATGTATTTGAAAGGTCGCCCCGTCACCATGTACATGCCCAAAGACCAAGTGGACAGCTACTGCCTGGAGGCAAGAGCAGAGCTACCTAGCAACAAACTCAAGCTGGACTGGGTGTATCCTTTTACTGCAACCTATTTGCCAAATACCGGAGGCAGGGAGCTTGTGTGAGAGCATTTTGACATGTTTTGAACAGAAAAAGTTCAAGTATAATCCCACTTTCTGATTTGGAAAGTTTCTCAAAGTAATCATCTGAGGAACTCCACATTGTGATGTAGTTGTGGGAGTTAAGAGGAGGAAGGCGCGAGCCTGTCCTTTTGCTTTCCCTGCTTGTCAGAGCAGATCTGTTCAGATGTTCATTTTCACCGGATTGTGCTGCCGCTGTCGGAGCCGGGCTCATCGCTCTGCGGCCTGGAGTCAGTAATAACCTGCGCACAGCTGGCAGGCTAAAGCACGGCCAGTCAGCAGCTCCTCTTGTGCTGTTTTATTTTTACTTTGTGTCACTGCGGTTTTATTTCTTTGCTTCTTTTGTTCGTTGATGAAGGAGTGAATATAGCTGGTTGTTAAGCCTGTCACGAACCCAGAGGCAAAACAGAAAATGATCAAATCTGATAAGGAAAGCACAAACAACAAACACACCGACAGAAATACAAACGTGGGCCGTGCATTTTGGATATGATGAATTACCCATTTTTAAAATGGACCTATATAGCTTTTGGTTGTTTTCTTTTGCAGTGAAGAATGTCCACATTAAACATGCCGAAAGTGTAATTCAACAATAATATGAATAGAGCAGCATGTAATGCTTTAAAAAGCTCTAAACGCTTGGTTTCAGACCGTTTTCCTTGGATCTACATGATGTCAAAGAGACTGAAATCTTTAATGCAGTCATCTCAGCCTTAGAAGCCCCTCCCACCCACTGTTCAAGTGTTCTGTTTGCAAGTGGCAGCCAATCAGAAGAAAGGCGAGATTAGCTCACTCAGTGGATGAAATGAAAAGAATGAAGACAAAGGATTCCTTTTCACTATGAATCATGCAAAGCTAATTTTATAGTCTATTATTTTTGCTTCTCCTGATCTCAGTTTTAATCCACACCGTTTAAATTTATGAATGCTACACAAATGAAAGCACATAGCTGTTTGTGATTAAAGAAAGCAGAGCAAAACATGTGTTATAAACCCATTTAGGGTTTTCCTTTCTTTCATTCCTTGACCGCTTTCTTGTTCAGCTATGGCTACCGTGGTCGAGACTGTCGCTCCAACCTTTACTTGCTCCCCACTGGAGAAACGGTGTATTTCATCGCCTCCGTGGTCGTCCTGTTTAACGTGGACGAGCGGTTGCAGAGACACTACACCGGACACACAGACGACATCAAATGGTAAGAGACGTCAGCAGCCCAGATCGAGTCTTTAATCTCGCTCTCATCTCTTTGCTCCTTTTGTATCTCCTATTCCTGACAAATACACAACTGACTCATGTAACTACAGCAGGCGAAGTAACAGGTGCACTCAAGTGTTGCATTCAGGCACAAGGCTGAAAGTATATTTGTAGGAAAGCTCGGAGTGCAGTGAGAGTAACCTTGAGCAGTCACTGCCATGATTATGTTATCACACGCTGAGGTTAATAAAAGTTCAGCTTATTAATCACCAGTTTGGATTACAGATCAGAGGATGAATCAGAGAGATTCTCGCTCCTTTTAAGACAAAGTGTTTGAACTTCCTGCGAGTGGTGCTGCACCGCCAAAGCCCCCAAAGGAATTCATCTTAATATGTTTAATTTCCCTCCACAGTTTGACGCAGACAGCGTGTGGTAGCTACAGCGAATATCATATTCATATCTTTAAAAAGCTCACTCACCAAAAGCAGCCTTTCATGTCCTGGGAGCACATGGCTCATCTTTATTCAAACGGTCCTTTGATGTCAAAAAGCCTGTTTTCACGTCTACTTTTCACGTCTTTCTCTCCACCAGCCTGGCTGTCCACCCTGATAAAATCACCATAGCAACTGGGCAGGTGGCGGGCACCTCCTCAGACGGAAAAGTAAGTGAGATCTGCTCCTTATGTTTTATCAAGTTATCTGTTATCATTTTTGATTTATTGTGTTTGGGTGTAAATTCTATTTTCTTGAAGGAACAGATTTACCTAATTCTGGCAGAGAGTTCCTGCATCCAGCGGTCACTTTTTTAGGTACACCTTACTCTTACAGAGTTGGACCCCTTTTTTCCTTCCAAACTGCTTTAATTGTCTATGGAAACATTTCTCAAAGATGTTGGTTCATGTTGACATGATAACATCACGCAGATGCTGCAGAAATGTTGGAGCACAGCCATGATGCAACCTAAACAGCCTTTGGGTTGTGGTGGAGATCTGGTGGCTGTGGAGAGCATTTGTGAGCAGTGAACTCATCGCCGTGTTCAAGAAACTAGCGTAACCCTGGCTGATTAGATATTTGCATTAATAAGCAGCTGAGCTGTATCTAATAAAGTGGCCAGTGAGTGTATTTTTCTCAGTGAATTTGCTTCTTCAAGCCGTACGTCACATCGAACTGATGTGTCGTGCCGATGGTTGTGTGCACTCCCTGTCTGGCAGCAGCTGGCTCCTCACGTTCGTGTGTGGGACTCCGTCAGCCTCAACACCCTCCATGTTCTGGGCACCGGCTTCTTTGACAGAGCGCTCGTCTGCTTGGCTTTCTCCAAGTCGGTGAGGAAACCCCCTCTGACACACTTAAATAAATAAATTAGTGACTTCATAAATTAATTACAATGTCACAAACTGCATGAACTGATGTATAAATTGTGACATAAGTTCATATTTTGTCTAAATTTCTTTTGTTTTTTATTAACCTTGGTTTCCCATTTAGTTTGTTCTATATTTAATTAATTCTTCATTTCTACTGCAAGGACAGGCGCTGTCATTCACAGCAGGTCGGAGGTTAACTTCACCTCTGTTGGTTTATCAGTGCCAAGCTCACAATATATAGTTCAAGCACTCAGATAATCTAGTAAAAATTAATACTGTCAGTAAATTAGTCTTAAATTATTCATTGGCTACATTAATTTTTAATATGTTTTTATTACACTTAATGAATTGATCATTTATTTATTGAGTCCATTTATTACTTTATTCATTTTTTATTTTGACAGTTCCAGTTCTCTGTAAAATTAACCTCTTTATTTTCAAAACATTTTTAATGTCAGAACGGAGGAAACACACTTTGTGTCGTCGACGACTCCAACGACCACGTCCTCTCTGTGTGGGACTGGCAGAAAGAGGACAGGCTGGCTGAAGTTAAGGTATCTGCACATGTATTGTGTGATTTCTTTGTGATTGCCTCAGTAGGCTCAGTGTTTAATGTTTCTCCTGAGCTTCATTCTTTCTTTTCTTTTTTTTCCCACGTGTTTTGGCTCAGTGCTCCAACGAATCGGTGTTTGCTGCGGACTTTCACCCCACAGACAGCAACATCGTGGTGACGTGTGGCAAGTCCCATCTATATTTCTGGAACCTGGAGAAAGGCATGCTGGTCAAGAAGCAGGGACTGTTTGAGGTAGGACTGTTCCTCACATGTTAGGAAGCATATTCACATCTAGAGTCATGACAGCATGTAATGTCATGAGTTGTTGCGTTGCTATATATAGAAATTTGGGGGTAGCTGAGCAAAATTCAGTTCATGTATGTTCTTGTGTTTACTGCAGAAACAAGAGAAGCCCAAGTTTGTGTTGTGCGTGACCTTCGCGGAAAATGGAGACGCTATAACCGGAGACTCGAGTGGGAACATCCTGGTGTGGGGAAAAGGTACTTGACTGTTTCACGCTCGCCTGTGAAAAGGATCATGTCTGTAGAGTGTACACAGTGAGTGAGTCTGCAGAGAAAGAGAGCGTACCACGGCTGAAAATAGGGGTGTGGTCAAAAATAGAAAAAGCTGTGTGCTTTCACCTGACTCGCAGAAGAAGTGTGCGTCAGAAGCACAACGGAAAAAAAACAAATAATGATTCTGTCTGCGAAGGATTTTGTGGTTATAAGCTCGAAGATGCGTCACTGTGGTGGTGGAATCAGGAGACTAGGAGTCAAAGATGTGTCTCGATCTGAACTGTTTTATATAAAAGGAAAAGAAGGTGCAGGAGATGTGCAGTCTTACAGTTTTATACCCTCATCACACCATCTGTCTCTGTAAGTTTATCTGCCCTCTGCGTACAGTCGACCTTTACGCCCTTCTCTGTCCCATCTTCATTGTGCAGGCACTAATCGCATCAGCCACGTCATCCAAGGAGCTCACGAAGGCAGCATCTTTGCTCTGTGCATGCTGAGGAACGGCACTCTGGTGTCTGGGGGGAAAGACCGCAGGCTCATTTCCTGGGACAGCAGCTACCAGCAGACACAAACGGTGGAGGTGAGAAAGCAAAAACGCTCTGAGGCAAATGCAAAGTTTATAAATTACACATAATTTTACAGATGGGGTACACTAGTCATGCTGTTAAGCATTTGACAGAATCCTTGGGTTTTTAATGCTTAGTTGCTCAGCTCTATAGCTCTTAATGATGCACCAGAAGCACACACTGTTAAGATGTATTAATAAAATGTTAAGCTGAATATCAAGCACCTTCCTCCAAGTAGGTCTCAGTCTGGAATATTAGCCAGAATTTGCATGCATGCCTGAGGCGACTGACTATGCATTCTGAATACTGCATCTTATTATAAATATTACAGAGGATAAGATGGATTTGTGCTTTCAAAGAGATTCACAGGCATTTATAGCAATGACACTCGGGGTTCACATTGACTGTATTATTATTATAAATTAGCTTGTCTTGCCTGAGGCAGCTGTTAGGTTCCAGGTGAAGCGGTGCTGTGCATGATCGCTGCTTTTTCTCTACAGGTGCCTGAGTTGTTTGGTCCCATCCGGACTATAGCAGAGGGCAGAGGGGAGAGTGTGCTCATCGGGACCACAAAGAACTTTGTTTTGAAAGGCAGTTTGGATGGAGAGTTCATGCCCATTACACAGGTACATGCAGCAGTCAGGTTTATCGCTACATTGGCTGTCCAATAGGAGGGTTCCTTCTTCTTCCTTTCCTGAGAACCTACTACTAGCTCATCTCAAGTTCATGCAGATGAAAATCAAATTTTAATGAATAAATGAATGTGTTTGATTAAGTTACAACAGGATGTGTTCAAATGCTTTGCACAACCCCAAAACAGTAGGTTGCTGATTAGTTTTATCAGCTTTGTTTCTTTCTCTTTCTTTCTCTTCTTTTCTGCAGGGTCACACTGATGAGTTGTGGGGTTTAGCCATCCATCCCTGGAAACCTCAGTTCCTGACCTGTGGGTATGACAGGCAGGTCTGTCTGTGGGACTCAAGCTCCCATCAGCTGATCTGGTCCAAGAGCCTGGAAGTAAGTTTAGGCAACACTGGCCCCTGGGGTCAGTCACTGGAATTACACAGCAAACATATGAAGATCATTTTTATGTCTATTAGAATAAACAGGACATCAAGTAGCAAAAGTGCATGTACACATTTACAGCAAAGCTATCAGCATAACATTATTTATACTTTATATAAATTTGGATTATTTGAATTATTGATCACATTAAAGATTCCCTCCAAATACATTTCATAACACAATTCAGTAAAAAATAAATCTTCTTTTTCTATTGCATCTATTTCTTCTCTCTTGCTAAAGAAATCAATTTATATGTGTGATCCCAGTCATACGAGTGAGATGTGAAGTGCTTAACTGATTCCGATTTTGATTAGCATGATGCTATACATCTTCTACATGACTGAGATCATCATTTTCAATGTCTGTGCACTGTAGACTACAAAAGTAGAGCTCACAAAATCATGCTCATATGTACCAAACGCATCTTAAATTTAAGGCAAGCAGTGAAACCAGGAGATAAACGTAAAAGCTGCACACAAGCGAATCTGCATAGTGAGGTAACAATAATCAAAACCCATTAATGAGTGAAGGGGTGGACTTTAAATGTCATATTCTTTCTTCTTCTCACAGGATGCTGCACAGTCAGCAGGTTTCCATCCTTCTGGAGCTGTGGTTGCTGTAGGAACCCAGACGGGCAGGTATAGACACCATCACCAAAAAGCATTTAGTGCCAATGCGCTTGGTTAAGAGATACAGCCTTTACTTTACAGCTAAAAAAAAAAGTATTTAAAAGATTTTGATCGGTTCTGTCATCAATCCTGCAGGTGGCTGGTACTGGACACAGACTCTAAGGATTTAGTCACAATGCACACAGATGGGAATGAGCAGCTGTCGGTTATGCGCTATGGGCCAGGTATGGTGTTAATCTCATGTTTGTGTATTAATGTTAGGAAAATTAAGAAGACTACACAGAAGACTTGTATGTGTTGTAGTTTATGTTGATTGAAGACAGCTAAAACTGCCAAAATCAAAACAAAAGAAGTCATATACTCATGAGCCACTTTATTAGGTACACCTCTCTTCGACCCCATTTTGCCTCCAGAACAGGCTTAATTGTTTGCGGCATCGATTCAACAATGAGCTGGAAACATACTGACATGATAGCAAACATCACGTTCCATCCTGTCCCAAAGGTGCTCTACTTCATTGAGAACTGGTGACTGTGGAGGCCGTTTGAATACGGTGAACTCAAAGCCAGTTTGAGTGTTGTGACATGGCACATTGTCTTGCAGCTATCAGACGATGGGTTCACTGTGGTCATAAAGGGATGGACATGGTCATTTGTGGAGTTTAAACAATGATCACTTGGTACTAAAGAATGCCAAGAAAATATCCCCTGTACTATTACACCAGAATCAGCCTGAACCAAAAATACAGGGCAGGGTGGATCCCTGCTGTTATATTGTTTATGTGAAATCCGCTTAAGCTTAAAGCAGTCTGGCCATTCTTCTCTGACCTTTGGCATCAAAAATGCACTTTCGCCCAGAGAACTGCTGCTCGCTGGATATTTTCTCCTTTTCCAACCATTCTCTGTAAACCCTGGAGATGGTTGTGTGGGAAAATCCCACGTCAGCAGTTTCGAAACACTCCTGCCTGGCACCAACAGTCACATAAATCACCCTTCTTCTCCAGTCTGGTGCTCAGATTGAACTTCAGCAGTCTTGACCATGTCTACATGCCTAAATGACTGAGATGCTGCCATGTGATTGGCTAATTATAGCCTTCTTGTTAACAAGAAGTGGAACAGGTGTACCTAATGAAGTGATCAGTGAGTGTATATGAATTACCAAGTAATATTGTTATAAAAACCAAAAAGTTAATACAACCAGCTAACTGCGCTAACACGTTGACGCCGTGCAGCCCCGCACGGGGTGATCGGCGTTAATTCGCTAACGGAGATTTGCTGCATTAATGCAGTTAAACGTCATTTTAACAAGATTAACGCTACCAGCACTAATATATATTAGGTAATGAACATCTGCTATACCTGCAGCATCAGATGTATCGCCTCCCTCCTCACAGTGGATATCCATCTACAACAGTCTAGTTAATTATTTGCCATCTGCACACCTGTTTTTTAATTTATATTTCATTTTATGACCTCTAATGTTCCTCTTTTCTTCATCTTATATAGATGGTAACTTCCTGGCCATCGGATCCCACGACAACTACATCTATATCTACGCTGTGGCAGAAAATGGGAGGAAGTACAGTCGAGTGGGGAAGTGCTCGGTGAGCACCTGTATTTATAATCCCCCTCATCCTTTATTTCAAGTTCCTTTCTGCTTCACCTTTATCTTTAGCTCCCTCCTCAGTTCTGCATTCCAGTGCTTTCTGGATGTGTGTTTACAGAGAACCGGCAAAGTCATAAATAACAACCCCCAGAGTCATACCCTGCTGAGACTATGCATCAACATTTCTAGGATTATTTATAGTTCTTGGATACCCATACTGACTCCACTCTGAAAATACTGTGAAGTGTGTGTTGCTGTGTGTGTCTGAGATGCATTTTGAAACTTTTCTAACTTCTCCCAGGGTCACTCCAGTTTCATCACTCATCTGGACTGGTCTGTGGACTCTCAGTACCTGGTATCAAATTCAGGCGACTATGAGATACTGTACTGTAAGTCACTTATCCTCAGGTTTCCTTTATAATCCTTAAAAATGCCACGAAATCTAGTAAAGTTGGCCTAAAATGATTTTTCCCCTTTCATGCATTCATGAAACTAGTCACTGTGCAAAACTGTGTTCACAACCAGCTCTGAGGTAGCAGGAGAGCACAAACTTGGTTGTGCATTTGAGCAATCTTAGTTAGTTTCGTAAGATGTTGAGTGTAAAGTTTTCAGTCACAGCAATTTGGAGTTGGCATGCCCAACAGCACCCATTCTAAGCCACGCTAAGACCTGTTGTGTATTTGCTTTGTATTTGTTTCCTCAGGGATCCCATCAGTGTGTAAACAGGTGGTCAGCGTGGAGACAACCAGAGATATTGAGTGGGCCACCCACACCTGCACTCTGGGCTTCCAGGTCTTTGGTAAGTGGCGGATCCTTTGATCTCCCTCTTTACGTGTATGTTGGTGTTTAATTGTGCATTCAGTAGAAATTTCCGGCGCCCTCTGCTTCCCCAGGCCTGTGGCCCGACGGCTCAGACGGCACCGACATCAACGCCGTGTGCAGATCCAACGATAAGAGCCTCCTGGTTACCGGAGACGACTTTGGGAAGGTCCACCTCTTCTCATACCCCTGCTCACAGTTCAGGGTGAGATGCTGCTCACGGTGATGTTAAGCAGGATATTCGGCTCAGTATCGAAAAACTGTGTTGTTTTTGTTTCTTTCCAGGCTCCCAGCCATGTTTACGGTGGCCACAGCAGTCACGTGACCAATGTAACCTTCCTGTATGATGACAGCTGCCTGGTGTCGACAGGTGGGAAGGACATGAGCGTGATGCAGTGGAGGATAGTCTGAGCGAGCACAGAAATGGATACTGTCCAGCTTCTCGCTGCTGCTGCTGCGGCTGAAGCAAAGTGAACCAAACTGCACTAAACTGAACCAAACCAAACTGAAACGAACTCAGACGCTAACACAGATGTGGATCTGAATGAACTGAAGTGGTTTTGATTGAAGAGAAACTTTTTGACCTGAGGTTTCCTTTCCCCGATCCACACACAGATCTTAACTGCGACAAACTGTCGGGGGTCTGACATGCGCCTGCTTGAAAGACAAAAATCCTCTTATTTCCCCCTTTCTCTGTCTCCGCACTACATGTAAAAAGAAATCTCCCCCTCGCGTACTGTAGCCTTGCACCCAGCGACATTAAACAAAACAAATCAAACGGATCAATGCGAAAACCAAAGGCCCTGTCTGACCCGATGGGTGCGTTTTTACAGTTTGGCTTCACTGTCCTTGTGTAGTACACACTCCTGCCACCAGATAATGGACTGAAGAGGTTTGTTTTGCTGCCTTTCAGAGCCCCTCCAGACTGAACTGGAGATCCGAGAACACTGCAACAAAAACTGTGCACAGAAAAAAATACAGTGTGATTTTTTTCTAATTGTCAAACTTTTATTTTGTATTTAACAACTCAGGAAAGCACTAGTGAAGCAAGGCCCTTCCCCGTTTTGTTAACACTGTCACATCAGAAAGAGTCTCTGAAAAAACATCTCACTAAAATATCCAAACGTCTCATTAACGGTTAATATTAGATCCAACTTTTGTTCAGCCATTATTGCTTTGTTGGTTTTGTGGGACTGAGGAGGATACTGTGAGTGAGGAGGTTGTTACCCACTATTTAAAACCAGAAGGATCTAATAAGAAATTTATTTGAACATATTCAAATTGTTTGTGCTTCCATCTCTTTACACAGGACCCCTTTCCTATTATTTATTGATTGTGCGTAAAATCCTTCACTGCCAGCTTGATTTCCTTTGACCCTTTTTCCTGCAATAAATCTCTGTTTAGATCGGTAGATGTACTAAAAAGTTTGAAACTGAGGACGCTGTGGGTGAAATATACACTATTTTGGTTTGCTAGGTTTCTCTGACTTTTGCCTGGAGTGCAAGGAGAATCAAAATGAAGCGTATGCTGAGGTTTTCAGTGATGTGAAGCCCTTTCAAATCTGTGTCTTTCCACTTTTTATTGTACCTACATCAGTTTATGAAGGGGAAGAATGAGACCATTACACTGTAACTGTCTGATGTGCTTCTCAGCTGTGCGCCATCAGTCACTGGCAAGATATTTAACAGAACTGTTGAGATGTTTTTTGGGGGTTTTTTCTATAATGCACTGCTTCTGCCTGATTTTAAAAAAGAAATACAGCAGGTCTATTAAGCTAATTAACATTTAGCACTTACTGGAGCTTTTCATAAACCAATGTCTGCTCTCAGGCTTTAAAGCTGTCTGCCATCCGATCAGCGGTACGATGTGTAGCATGTCACACTCCTTATGGTTAACAGAAAAGCCAAATGAGCACACGTGCATGAGTAAATGGGACTTTTTTTTTACGTGATAATTGGTTGGGGTTTAGCTGATTTTAGTGTGAACATAGCTGCTGCTGTTATGAGGCACACTGAGGTGGTTTAAAAATCCTGAAGGCTGGCTGATTGTTTTATCGGTTTATGTCCTTTTATCAGGAAAATTTCAGATCTTTTAACAACAGTGATTTAAAGCTGCCACTCTACAGAGTGAATGTAACATTTATTTGTCTTACCACTTTAACACTTGGGGCTGCAAAATACCATTGAACATTAAAATCTCTCTGGAAGTAAATGATGAAATACAAATGATGTGTTGTCTTATATTTTTCACTGTTGTCGTTTTGTTGTTTAATTCTTTCTTTGACATGTTGGCTTTTGTTTTATTGAAAATTCTAACAAAGGAAATCCACTCACAGGGACTATAGAGTGGAAATTGAAATCAGTTAGTTGTAAAAACAAAAAACAAAAAAAACGACATTTCACTCTAAAGCAGAATACAACATTTGTAGTACTTTAGACCCCCTGGAGGGCTAATAACAATATATATAATATATATATATATATATAAATGATAATAGTATATATATACATATATATATACATTATATACTTATATAACATATATACTAACATATATATTATGTAAAATTATATGTATATTGAAGAGACTACCAGTGAGGATTCTCTTGACTAACATATGACCTGATGACTTGGTAGTAAACTTGGTAGTAGTACATTAAGACAATTATTTTGCACCACACCAGCCAAGCACCTCAGTTCTCTATAGCAACTATTCGAGGGAGTAATTTCTGTTAAGAGCCTGAGGTTAGTTAGAAAGAACAAAGCTGACCTCATAAAATAGTTGAAAAAAATTCAATAGAAATTAATAAAAGAAATGTAAAAAGCAAAAAAATATTTTAAGAAAATAATCATATAAATGCAATGATGCAGGGCTGAGATAGATTGTGGTCGTCCGACCAGAGATATCGCTAGCTCCAGGACATCGGGCTAGCGATTTTGCAAGCCCTGATGTGTAAATCAATAAATAGAATGTAAAATCAAATTGGAAGACGAATAAATAGAGGATTAATTAAACGGTAAAGAAATACACAAGCAAATCAAAATAAATATAAATATTTTTGTGTGTGTGTCTGTTTACTAACAATCATTTGTTTAGTTAGCTTTATTTTTGGCTCATGTGGTCCTCCATACATTAGGGGGCTAGACCAGACTACTTGTTTGCCTGCTGAGACTCTGACGGGTGGGGTACTTAGGGGGCGTCAGTTCCCTGCATGTGTGCGTCTTGGCCGCAGGTGGGCAGCATTGAGCCGGTCAGCTCGCACCCCCTCCCCTCTCCCTTTGCACGCCGTATTAGCATTTTCCCCAAAATCTGTCCATCTCACCAAAACACTCCGAATGGGAAGAAAATATGGCATGAAGGAGGCGGCTGACGACCACGGTTCACCGTCTTCTACCGAGCGCGAGCACCGACTGAACATGGACTTAAGGACACGCGGCGTAAGCAGCAGCGCGTGCGGAGAGCAGAGACAACGGAGCACAAAGCGGATGGAAGAAAACGCTCGGGTTGTCGCTTAGCGTTTCACGACCCATCCTCAGCCTGTGAAATCGCCACAGACGCGCAGAGAGGACACAAGGTGGAGGCCGGCGGGCTGCTCCGAGCCTCACACGAGGGTATATACTGAAATAATAGCGGGACGTATTGAGCAGCCTCATCAGTGCCATCAGCCCCGGTTGAATAAAAGAGGAGGAAAATGAGGTAAGCACCGTATCGTGCGCTGTTTGACGCGTCATGGCAGATGCGCAGCGACACGGAGCCCTCTCCGGGGCTACATCTGCATTTCCACAATAACCTCGCTGGAATGATCATTTACTGAATAACTGCAGCATCTTCTCATATTTTATTGCCAGTTTTTCCTCCGGGTGCCCACCCACCCGGCCTCATCCCCTTCACCCACCTTCCATACGTGCGCCCTTTAACTGTGCGCTTTTATGTCATATTGTTAAATGGCGAATTATCGAAATGACTTCTCCGCTTTCCACCCCCCTCCACCCCCTTCTTTGTCACCGCCGGACCCACCCAGCGCATTGAAGGCAGGATTCAGGCCAGGTTGATGTTGTCATGGAAACGACAGCATCATGTATTTCCCTACATAAGCAATTCGGGTGCACCCGGTGAAATGATAAAAAAATAAAATAAAATACTGCTTTCGTTAAATGTGATTGATGCACCACCGGGGTGAGTGGCTGCAGGAGGGGAGTGTGTTGGTGTGGTGGGTGGGGGACAGGATAAATGAGGGTGCTTATAACCGTGGCAAGAGGAGGAGGAGGGTGTTTATTCCGGTGGTTGCCAGGCAGGTTAACAGACCCCCACCCCCTCACCCACTTCCCATATACACCTACAGAAACCATGATGGTTGCATATATGCATACTATCCAGTCTGTGGCTCTTTTTGAAGTCATTCTACATCTGAGCTTATGGGCGGTATTTTGAGCCCTTTCCTGGTTGTGCTGGTATGCAGAACACGCTGAAGCCCAGATCTTCTTCTTCAGCAGGAGGAGCAGCAGTCTTTATACTCTGTGCTATTTATGAAGCAGTCCTTTTATGTTTTCCCCTTCCTGCCTTAGGTTGACTCCTCCATGTCTCCGTAGCTGCAGTCAGCCTGCACCATTCCGTTTTACAGCCTCAGATTTACTCTGACAGCTCTCCTCAGATACAGTGCACTCTCGCTCTGCTTTTCCTGTAGCTACCGGTGTTGGTCTGTATCTTTGGGAGAGAGTCTGCTGAGAGTCTGTGGAATCAAAAAGGAAAAGGAAAAAGAGAGAGAAAGGGAACAAAAAATGGGATAAATCATATTTGTGAAGTGCTTCTGTTTTTTTTTATTTCCAGTCCCAATAATTCACCGTCATCCTGTAACCTCACCCAGCACAAAGCCAGTGGCTCAACTGCTCCAAGACGTAAACATGCAAGATTCATATCTTCCAGTCCAGTCAGATGAGAACGCCGTTTCCTCTTTTTCTGTAAAGCAACGCTGCTTGTATCCCATCCTGTGTGTTTGTCTTCACCCGAGGCAGATCTGCTCTTTGACTCAGGCCCAAAAGGGAAGTCTTAAATCTCCACAAAGCATCAGCGAGGGGCGACCTGGCTTTTATTTTTGCAGGGTTAAAGGGAAAAAAAGAAAAAAGAATTACATTCAATGGGCCCATTTGTTCAACCTCGCCGCTTCCATTTGCTGCATTTATGTAAGGGTGCGCATGCATTCATGTATGTGGATGCCCATGCACTTGCACATAAGTGTACACACAAGAGTGGAGTTATTTTTAGAGATTTCATTAAGGGGCGCTTCTTCTCTACCGTCAGTCTAGACCTGGCTGTTTCTGCATGCTTGTGCGTGCGTGTTACGAGTAGGCAGAGTGGATTGGGAGGAAGAACCGTGAGCGTGCATGTAGGCGTCTGTCCATTGCTATTACAGGACAGGATTATTTCTGAAGGGCTCGTTGTGGTGATTCACTGTGCAAAAAGTAGAATGAGCGAGTGCACTCACTGCAAGGTAAAAAGCTGAGTTATGCCTCCTACTGCAGGCTGCTGCCCTCTGAGCTGATCAGAGAGCAGCTCCACGAGAGACGGCATCACCGCAGCCACAGCGCTCCCATTTGTGATACAATGATAAAGCCTGGATTTCAGGGGAAAGGAAAATGGCTTTTAGCTAGCAGTAATAGTGACAACTGAATATCACAAATGATTAATTGACTCTCACATGGCAATCCTTTATGAATCAACCCTTATCTGGTTGTTTTCTATCTGCTCCTGTAAATCATCCATAAGGCTGTGTCCTTTGGCATTGTGGAGGTCAAACAGGTTCAGCCTAACCTTTAGTCTCTCCATTTTCACTCCCCAAGGGTTTCGCTAGATCCAAATATTGATTAGTATCAATTCCAAGGCTGGTATTGGTATCAGATCAATATTAACTCTCCAAAAGTAATCAATCAATATGGACGATACTTTTCTATCCTCTAAGTTCAGTATGTAGCCCCCTGGATTGTGTTAAATAATTCTTACATGAAATACAATAAAAGCTGAAAAGTGGAGTTTTTTGTGTGAACTAATTACTGTGGAAAGTAAAAATCACCGTGATTTAGTAATCATTAAAATGTCTTCAAAATCAGCAAACTGATGACAATGATTCATCTTATAAATCAAGACACGCTGCTCTCTTCTTAAAGGTTAAAAGTTCTGGTATCAGTATTGGTATCTGGCCGTGTATTTACTTGCAGTAACAACATTTTAACACTTTTTTTCTGTTTGTTGTGGAGTTCAAAGTCTGCTTGAAAGTTTTCGCTTAGGCCTCAGCCGAATGTCACTAATCCTGGATGCACATGAACTCAGACCTTCTGGGTGCCACTTTAGAACCCCGGATCCGTTGTGTGTTTCTGGCTATTTTCTTAAATCCATAAAGCTTCCTAATCTTTCAGTGGATCGCTCTTTGTTTGTTTCCTACACCTCGGCTCACTGCTGCAAAGAAGCTTAAAAGCCTTTAAGTTTGCTCCTGCCAGATGGACCGCCGTTGGAGGGCGAATTCTGATAAAAGCCGCAGGGATGCCGCGAATATTACACCACATCGGGGAAACTTTTGTTGCTCGTTACGCTCTGTTGTTCCTGCAGAGAACGGGAATGTTGTGTCCGTTATGATATCTGAGCTGAATGAATGAACTGTTGCTGTTGTTTCCTCTTCTGTAGTTAATTAGGGATAAAAGGCTGACATGCAGAATCTATTTAAAGCTCCGGTATAGAAAGGGGAGTGTAAAAGCGCTCCTGTTTCCAATACAGGCTAACATGTAATTTCCATCCAGTGGAAATTATTCCTCGGAGGTTGAAAGACAACGACTCGGTCCCCGAAGCAGAGGGAGGTGACTGGTCTGCGCTGGTCACATGTTCTCTCTCTCTCTCTCTTGCATTCCCTTACTCTGTTGCAACACTCCTCATCTCTCTCGCTCACTCCTTCCCTCCTACTCTCTCTGTGTCTCATGCTCATGACTGCCTTGCTGGCGTAGTAGATTTTTTCTCTTTTTTTAAACTTTTTTAGAGGGATGTGAAGAGGGGAAATACTGAGTTGACTGCAGCAGAGTTGGACAGCATGCGTATTGCTCTCTCTTCTCAAGGTTGACATTTCCCCCTCTCCTCCATAATCTCCCTTTTTTATACTTCCTTCCATCCCGTGCTCGAGGACTGTGCCCGCTTCTCCGGCGACATGTATTCCCTGGACGACTTCGGGTAAGGCAAAATGACTCATCAGTGATCGTCTCTTCACTGTGTTTTTGGAGTTGTGTGAGTAAAGCTAAGGTTGGCTTTGAGTTGTGCGGTAATGATGTAGCCTCCTTCACTCTGTGGTGTTTCTGTTTGAAGCCTGGCTCAGCTTTCAGACCACACAATCTGTTTGCTCCTTGAAACAGGATTGTGCGCCTGCAAGAAAAACCCCTATTTCACCAAGCCCGACATGCCGCTGAATATGTTGAATTGGAGGAAAAGCTTGGAAAAAAAATCTCCTCCAGGAGTTGCTGACTTTCTCTCCTTTCCTTTTTTCCACCCCTCTGCCTGTGATTGTTTGGAGCCAGCTGTTGCAGAGAAGTCTGATTGGTTACCCTCTAGCAGTCTTTCATTGGTTCAGTCTTTTCCTGGCAAATAAAGGAATGAGTTTCTTGCTGCCTGCCATTGAATCTGCTCAGCTGCTCACTCTTGTTCACGGGACTGATCCCATCTGACTTGTTGCATGTGCGTGCGTTTGACAAAGGAAGTCAAGAAGAAAGAGATAGAAAGTGTTAATCTGACTGGCTGATTGAGTGAGACTCTCAAGAGAGGGTATAGTCCAGTATAATGTGGCCCTGCCAGATTAGAGCGGGTCATGGCGATTTGTTAAAGCACAAATACAGATACAGAGCCGAGTGGGGCAGAAGAGATAAGACTGATGGTTTACACTTGACCGCGTGCACTCTAGTAATCTCCATCACAGGGAAGATCTCTCAGCATCTCTCACAGTATGCTCACTATTTATGACAGTGTCATTCTGATTGTAATGTGGAAATAAAAACAAAAGTTGTCCAAAACGTAACCTCAAATTGTGAAATCAAACCTAATGCTCCGTTTTTCTACCGTCCAGACCCCGGCCCATTCTTATTCCCATCAACGACACAGGATACAAAGAAAAATACGAGCTCCGCAGGGTTGTATATTATTCTCCGGCTGAGAATGTTAATCAATCTGAACAGGCTAACGCTCGCTCTGTTCTTCCTGTGTTCTCGTTTGTGTAACCTACAAAGTATTTTCTCTCCAAACGGAAGCGGCGGATCCCTTTAAGGATCAGGATTAGCGACGGTGACGAGGACTGGAGAAGGTGGAGGAGAGTGGTGGGGGAAGGGTAAGACAGTGAAATGTGGGGTTGCCATCCATATTGTACTGTATGTGATCACAGTCGGTTAGCCTGAGGCCCAACTGGCATCTACAGGGTAATGAATAAGTGATGGTATTATGGAGGTCAGTGTGCTGATTTTACTGTTGGTTGTTGCCTGATGCACTGCAAGCGAGTGATCCGCCTTTATTAAGAAAACAGAGAATCAGAAAAGTCTCATTATTATGATTTAGTATGAGTATATTGGCAGTGCTGCGACATCGCACTGCAGCTTTGAGCTCAGTGAACATAAAACAATCTATGCAAAAATGAAAAATCTAACATTTCGCACATTACAGATGATCCGTCTAAATATTTGTATGTACGATGAGATTTCCCAGTGTCGGTGGTTATTTCAGTTATTTCACTGTTCTCAAACATCGTGTGATGACGAGCTAAAAGATGTGACTACAGTTAAGTTACCGTTTCCCTGGCACAGAAAGAGGAACAGCAACTGGTATCTCAGGAGTAATGAATAAGTTACGGTATTATGGGGTTAGTGTGGGAACACTATTGACTATCAGGCAAACTGTTCATGATTGGTGCATCCCTGGCATCGGTCTTTATTCAGCTCTACTTTATGTCTATTTTTTCTTTCAGTGCTTTCAAATTAATTACGCTTTTTTTTTTTTGTTAAAATTCTGCACTTGAAAAGGACTTTGAGATTTTGAAAAATTTTGACATTTTAGGTGATTACCAGCAAAAAGAAGAAAAAAAAACAAGCAAAAATAAATCAATTACAAAAGGTTTTTTTTAGCTTTTCATAAGCGTATATGAGAGTAATGTTGTGAATCATCAAACACCCCATGACTATCACAATACTTCACCTATTGAGGCTTCTGCTGCACTGGAAGCCTCAGTAAAAGAATTTACTGCAATTTTTAACATTTTGCAATAAAATATCACCTTTTTTTAAACTGCAAATTATAATTTCGAATTTTAACTGTTAGTATATTTTTTTTTATCTCACTTCAGTTATTTGAATGGGGTCAGTTTGGCTGTTACATGCAATCTGATTGTGATGATGCAGCAGTTAACTGTGATAAATCACTGAAAATAATATATCTGCTGTTGTGTACATGGACAGAAATTCACATTTAACTTTCACATTTGCGCTCTGCAGCCTTCCTGTTCCAACAAGAATAAAACCAGTTGAGTGGAGATTTTTTCAGACTGGCAACACGTTGGAAATCTGTCTGTATCTTTGAGTGTTTGCAGTCAGTCCAACCAAGACTGCGACTGCAGAAAGGTTGCCTTCTATCAGGTATGTCAGGAAGTGCTGTGTGGCAGGCAGGAGTTGGAACCAAGAGGCACTCAGACTCGAGGGATGAACTCAAAAAACTCAGCTTTATTTGCTGACAGGGGAAAAGCATACAAAACTAAACTACACAGGGAAAATATAAACTTACACTTTGCAGGGAGGCTCACGAGGAAACACACAGCTTGAGGGACGACACAACACAGGGTTTAAATACACTGGGAAGTAAAGAGGGGAATGAGACACAGAAGGAGGGCACAGCTGGGGGAAATCAGAACTGACGAGACAAGGAAGCGTAAGCTGAACACATTCATATAAGACACGGACCTTCAAAGTAAAACAGGAAGTATAACACAGAGACGCAAACTTGACACGGTAGAGACAGCAACTAAGAAACAGAGACATAACCATAAGGCAAAGAACCAAAAAACTAGAGATGATAAATAATACACAGAGGGAAATCCTGAAACACAAGAAGCTCAAAACATGCGAAGACACAGACCAAGAAACGCCGACTTTACACAGAACAAAAGGGGGAACAGGAAAACAACAGGGGCAAACTAGAAACCATAAAATAAATCACACAAGTACTCGACAAAATACAAAAATCACAAAAGAACTAAAAACGCTGGGTCAGGAGACCCAGGATCCTGACAAGGTAAGGCAACCTTGATCAAAAGTGCTTGTGAGTGTGCAGTGACTTCAAGCTCTGGGAAACCATTTAGTCACCAATAGTTGCAGTCGGTCACAAAATGTGAAAAAATTCAATAAAATCATCAGAACGCTGCCAAGTTTTTGTGTAGAGGTAAGAATGTTCCTGTCTTATTTTCCCTCATGTGACTGAACCATCAGCTTACTCTGATTAGGAGGTATTTTAGTGTCCAGTGTTGGATGGTTAATCAGTTCATTTAATGTAAGTTTGCTCAGCTAACATTAACTCAGGCTGGTGATGCATGAGATGAGCCCTCTGTGTAATAAAACTCCCAGACTATTTAATTTAATTTAATAAAATTTAGATATTTGGTGTCCCTGTATCGATACAATATTGTCATGCAAAATATTGCAACACTATGCTTTAATTGCTATCGTCCTATTTGTTAAAATAAATATTATTTTGCTGTGGCATACATTTATTGGAAAAATCCTAAATAGAAAGAATAATAGCACCCTATGATCACTGTGAATGTGTCTTTTTCTTTCTAAGCAACAACGTGGCCTTCATGTTTGATTTTCGATGCGCTCACTTTCCCTGCAGCAGTTTAGCTCTTTCCTATTATCAGTTTATAAATGTTAGTGAGCAGGCAGTGTCTCCTCCTCTGGGCACAACAGAGCCTCGTCTGCCACAGATCGAGCTTGTTAACATTTACCCGTCCGGCCACAGAAACGTCCTGCGGTCCAGCTGGGCCATCTGAGCCGCACACGAGCCAAGAGTAATTTCACTTGGCATGGCTGTTACCCCTGAATAACAAATCGCTGTTGATCGTGACCCCGGTTTAACCAATGTCAACGTGACACAGAGTGCCGTGTCACGCATCTTGGTGGTGTGACTCTGTTGTTTGGGTTGTTTGCTCTCTGAGCGGCATATGATGTCAGCCGTTAGAGCCGAGCGCATGTGAACCAGAGAGGTCGAAGGGTAATGCTCTGTCATCTTAACACTGGACTGCTGTCAGCCCAAGGTTGTGTGGATTTGTGTGTGAGAGCTTGAGAGGGAGATCGTTTATTTGTAGCCTGCAGGACAGCACACAGTGGACAGGGTTCCTTTGCCAGAATCAAACCGGGAACGTTCTCTACCTCTGGTTTTATTACATTTGGATCGAATACTGCCGCTCCGCTCAACAATAACACCGATGCCTTCCAAAATGCCCCCACCTCCCTTTGCTGTCTCACCCAGAGAATCTAAACCAGATTGAGCGTTAGCTTGTGAGTTATTCAATAGCTTTTAATGGACATTTAGCACATACACACACATGCACGCACACACATGCACACACCACCTCCAGTTAATGTGCATGCCCCGTGAGTGTTCATCCACTGTCCTCAGAGGTGGAGGACATCCCAGTCAATAGTAGCTGACCACAGTATAGACCACTGGTTGTTAATTTGGGCTCGGCTTATTTGGGTAGCTATGGCAACGGCAGGTGAGGAGGAGGGGCGGTTGGAGATAACAGCAGGACCCCCCCCCCCCCCCCCCCTTCATATATCCAGTAAACTGTAGTGTGTGTTTGGATTTGTTAGGGGAGGGGGGGGTGCTGCTGGTTGAGACGGATATGAGGTAATCTCCCTTGGGTTTTCAGTACAACAATAGCGCAGAGGTTCAGTGACAATCGCACATTCACAATCGTGTGTTAGGGATCGCTGGCTGGTCAGTGACTTCATCTCTGCCAGTCTGTCTGTCCGTCATCGCCTTTGTTCCTGGATGGAGGGGCCATCCGTCTGGATGTGAATGCAGCACTGCGAGAACTCGGGAATGTTCTAAATCTCATTTCGCTTCTAAGTGGATGATTTTAGTTACTCATGCAGCTGTTGCTCTTGTGCGTAATTTCTCGCAGGCTTTCAGGAGAGGATTAAACC